CATTGACATGCAAATCAATGTATAACTTTTTTGATATTTGTTTTTCTGGATTTTATTTGTGTTATTCTGTCTATCACTGTTAAAATGCACCTCCCATTAAAATTATAGACTCATCATTTCCTTGTTAGTGGGCAAACTGTCAAAATCAGCAGGGGATCAAATACTTTCTTCCCTCAATGTACGTGTGGGCATGGGAAAAAAAATTCAACAAAGCAAAGGTTGATCATTGACCTATCTGCTCCCCACTCTATGACAACACCTAGTCTAAATTCACTCATTCCATCAGAATAATTCTCACTCCAATACATTATTATTGACAATGCCATAGACACAATTTTGTCAGCAGGAGGAGTCGGAGCTGGTCTCAGTAAGACTGACATAGGGAATGCCTTCAAGCTTCTCCCTATTCATCTTTCATAATGGCATCTACATGGTGTTAAGTGCCGGGGGTCATTCTACTTCTTCTCGCATCACACTTTCGGTTCAAAAAGTAGCCCCAGGATTTTTGATATATTTGGAGACATTGTGTTGGCTGCTACTTAACATCTGTAGATGCCCCATAGTTATACATAATATGGACGATTTTCTTTCAATAGAAAGTAACCTGCTGCCACCCAGTAGCTTTAAAGTGACTATGCAACCATTTGAATATTTAGGTGTTCCAGTTTCACGAAACAAGCGGCGCCAGTTCATATCACTGAACGTCCACTACGGGGAGGCATCTGCATCCCAAACTGGCCTGCGCACCCGGTCTTCGGTCCCTAAGCTATAGTCACTAATTATCCCTTACCTGGGAGCTACGAGGCTAGGCTTGTGGCTGCCCAGGAGAGCGCTCTCTCCAGTGGATACCGCATTCCGCAAGGTCGGGCGTTTATATGCAGGTTGCTTAGTCTTTTCCCCCCAAATTCAGTCAAGTTGCATAGTGCTTGATCAACTTGCCATCTCAGATTTTTTAATGTGGAAGGGATTATTGCTAAAATGGAATGGGAAAAGCATGTTCATACCCTTAACAGACTAATCCTTTTCAATTTGGACAGACGCTGCTGCCACTTCTGGGTTTGCAACAATTTTTAGCAACGAGTGGTTATGGGGAAATTAGCCAGAGGAAATCAAGTACGTCCCAGAGTTTGTTACCACTTCAGTCTTATTTGAGCTATGCCCAATTATTGCAGCTGCAGAAAAATGGGGCACATCTTGGTCAGGTAAAACGGTAAGGTGTTTTTTTCCGATAATACGGCTGCATGCCACATAGTTAACAAAGGACGCACCGCATTCCTGACCATCATGCGCTTCATAAGGAAATTGACATTGCTAGCAGCTACGCACAATTACTTTTTGCCCTGTCCATTTTAATTTCCACTTTTTCAATGTTTTGCTCCATTTGCCAGATAGAGGCTTGTTTATTGTATTGTCGTGATGAGTACTTGAGCTTGATTTATATCGTGTGGATAATTTATACCAGCATATGGAGCATCATTACTGTGGTTTACACCTTTTATTAGTGATGTAGAGTTTTCTTCATTACTGTAGCATGTTAAATCATGATCTTCTCTCCTGTAAAAGGTGAAAAAATAAAAATTGGAAAGGCGTTTGTCTTCATGTTCTCCCTTTTTTCTCCCTGCTCAGGGGAGTTTTTTTTTGCCATACTGCAGTAGCTTCATTTGTTCATATAAACAAATCTTCCTCCTTGGTTTTCAAGTACAAAGTTGTCTCAGCAGGAAGGTGTTGCATTTATAGAGATCGATAGTGTGCTTGAAAGTCCAGCCGCTATCACAGAAAACAAAAACAATTGAAGGCAGAATTTAAATCTGTTCCATAATTCCCAATGTAGTAAGATTTACTTGGTCATATGGTAGAGCTGCAGGCCTGTATTCCATTCTGAGGAGTCCCACTCCTTTCAATCATATGAGCCTTAGCCTAAACAGGAGTAAATGCTTCCATCATGTGCAGGATTTGAGTCTGCATTATAGTTCCAGCTTTTTGTAAATGTCCACTTCTCGCTTTTTCAGCCAGTACTGCTTTATTATACTGCAAGGAAACCTTTTTCAAAGGCAACAAGCCCCTATTTAATGTTACAAATTATCCAACTACTTTCACCCAGTCCTAGGCTAGCTCTCAATGCGTGCAGTAATTTGATGCATAAACAAAATTAAACACATTCAAGGTTGTCCTTGCATGCTCACAGCCCCACTATCAAAATGTTATTTTTTGTTCCTAATGTCCTTGGGGAAGCTTTAGATTTTTAGTTTGTTTCCAGCACCAGGAGGTTCTAAGATTTCGCCTGACCTCTTTGCTAGCCAGCCTTTCTATTTACCTGCCTCAATGGAAGAGAGCTCTTATTTTTTTTCCACGAGTCTTCTAGGGAACCTTGCCACTAGTTGCGACAATATACATACCATCTACTTATTTTAAGCAATCTTAAAATTAAGCAGCTGATTGAATATGCAGAGTCTGCAACATTCTTCCATTTGATGTCTATTTTGCTATATACAGATGTCCGAGATGCCTACCACCCTATACCACTATTAATAGTGGCTGAGATGTCAATATACAGGAACAGAGTGATCATCAACCATAAACACATTTAGAGATTATGAATAATTTACTTGCCCAAGGATCATCAAAAACCTAATCAACATTTTAAAGAGATTTTAGAGGGGTATATTTTCAGATAAAACAGATGCAATATACGCAAATATAAATATAGTTATAATTATAGTTGCTTTATATTAGAACATTCCAGCATGTTGACAAAAACACATAAGAAAGCATTGAGATAATGCTATCCTATGGGGAATGCATAATGCAGGCATGGCAATTGCACATTAGGTTCCTGCATCTCTGTTAAAGGAGAAGCCTAAGCCAGCTCCAAGGGACCTCGGAACTGGAATCAGGTAAATGAAAACAGGGGTATTAACCATTTATTTACAGCTGGAGGGGGCCACAAGGGAGAGGGGTGGCAGAGGATGCTATAGTGTTAGGAATCCAGTTTTGCATTGCTAATACTATAATGTTTCTTTGAGTTGGTAAGATAATGCAGGCAGTTTTTATCCTGTTAAATTAAAACATGGAATGCTTTATTACAGTACCTCAAAGCTAGGTGCAATTGCCCTAGAAAATGACAGAGAGGCCCAAGTAATTGAAACAAAGGTTTAAAGAACAGACAGTTCAAAAGAGCTTATCAAATCGCAGCATCGAAAGACAGGGGATAATATCAAAAAGGCCACAAACAAGTAACACACAAGTGCATGAGCACATTCACCACTGAATGGGATGAAATTAAAATGATTCTGACAAAATGATGACCAATTCTAATGTATGACTCAGATTTGAAAGATATCCAATTATTTGTCTGTTGGTCCTAGGTGATCAAAAAGTCTTGTTGATCTCTTGGTTCAGAGTTACTTACTACGACAATCAAAATGGAATAATATAATTATATATATTATATGGCAACAGGTGTATTGCATGCTTTTATAGTCACAATTATAGAAAAAGGAATAGGAAAGAGGGGAAACATTCTAGTAGGGCACAACCACACACACAAACGAAACAAGGCAAATCTCAATCACATTCAATATACGGATTCCACCTCTCCAGAAAGCTGGTGCATTGAAATCAAACTACTTTTAGATACCTATCTAGGCAAACTAATTACTAATTGGAATTCATGAACAATAAATATTACTACTGCAGAAACAAAATCAGTAATACAGTTAAAGGAGAGCTTACATCCTCATAATCTAAACGGTTATTGGGACTAAAGTGCACTGCAACATCTTGCCTTCAAGGGTTAAACTGTTACAATGTTTAACCTGAAAATGGGGTTCCAATACCTCTACCCCTAGCCTTTTTCCTCTCTGCACTACAGTATGAGGGAGGTTGAGCCATACTGATTGGCTACCATACTACCATAGTTATTTAAATGTCGATCCAGCTAAAAGCTGCCCAACTCAACTGAAGCTTTCTAAATACGGCTGCCCTCAGAATAACTTAAATGAAGTTAAGCTCCCACATTACTTTAAAGACAATGTCCCAAAACAGACTTGAGACATTATCAATTCCTACCATTGCTCATGAAGATGGGCTCTCTATTACTGATATCTTTCATAATAAAGCTACATCCCACACATATTAGTCAGCATTATATTCTCCCTCACTGATGACCTAATGGATCAGACGGAGGGAGTCATTGTGCCATTGAAACTGCAATATCAGCAAAGGCCCCAGGACCAGACAGATCATCCCATAGAAAAATATCTGCAGCAATAGTTAGCTCTCATGTGGTCCTCGATGCCTTGCCTATTTCTTGTGGGTTCTACATACAGGTTTTTCAGGAACTTGCTATTTGGGCTTATTAAAAATATTTAGGACACTTTCTCTCTACCAAAGGATCTAATCAATTGTATTTATAGCCTGTAGTTCCTGAAACAGTACCTTTTCCTTTAATACTAACTTGTAAACCACTTCTTTAAAATACCTGGGAGGTATTGTTTCCTAAGACATTGCCTATCTCTACACACTAAATGTCTCTAAATTCTAAATGGAGTTGAAACAAACAAAAAAATAAAACACACTTCTGATCTTTGGAGATGTGTTTGGCCACTCAAACCATCATCTTCAGAGTGCAGTGACAATATAGACACACATCCTCTTCCAGGTTGATTCATAACATTCCCAGTTGATTTATAGTTCTTAATTATTGCCCTGATTGTGGAAATTGGCATTTTCAGTGGAATATCAATGGGAATATACTTCAAATATTTATTTTCTCATATGAAATCTTAGGGATGCCAATAATTGTTTCACATATATCATTAACAAAGATTGATTATTTTATTATTTTGGAGGGGATAAACCTCTGTAGGGTTTGCAATTGTTTGATATCCATGCAAGCAGAGTATTTTTTTTTAAAGAAAAGATCAAAAGATTAAACAAAGAGAATTTTTCAGTCTTCTTTGGTCAGATTTATCAAGGGAGCTTATAAACCTCTCCTCATGCCTTGACTTGCCATATTGAAGTGGTGTCATTTGCTAAACCAGTGGCTGCTCACTGTAATAAAAGATTTGCAACTGGACATTTATTGCAATACTAAAGAAAGCAGTGTTGGGTTTATTCTAGAAAAACAAAATACTTACTGGTTGAGGAAGATAGCTGGCTACAGAAGAACAAATAATAATTGATCCAGATCTGTTAAAAAAAAAAAAAATTAAGAAATGTCTGACAGTTGAGTATATAATGATGTTAAGCGTAACAAATATTAATGGAATGTATTGTAGTATTTTAAAATACCAAAAGTAAATGCAAAACATGTCTACTTAACAAAAAAAAAAATTAGGCATTGATTTAATAACCTTTCCAAATGATACAATGTGGTTAGAAAAACATGCCAAATTATTTTATTTAAATTAGTCATAATGAAAGTCAATGGGATCTTTTTGTAGATAAATCTTTTTCTTTTGTAGTGCAGGTGAGTACAAATCAGCGTCAAAATGCCACAAAATGATAAAGGGGACATGCGTTCGTTCAACAATGAGTAATTATGCTGAAAACATGCATAGAAAATGATATAAAATAGTTTTGTGGATCTCGATATGAATGTGCATAACAATTATAGCTTGAGTAACTAAGGTGGGTCACCTAGCAGTAGGTAAGTTTAGACCGTGAGATACATATAAATGACAATATGAAGTACAAGCTATAGGTTGCAGATTAGGTGTCACATTTAAACAGAATGCTATTCATACCTAAGTTAACATTGATATGTGAAGGTAATGTAGTTGCATGAGAAGTATCACTACCTGTCAGGTGTTAGTCCTGGCAGGCTAGGCAATAAATCTGAGTTACATACTGACATATATGCTATATTGTGAGGTCTCTAGGAGTGTCATCACAGGAACATTTTGACATTATATATATATATATATATACATGCATACTTAAGCGTTATCAGTAGTGATGTCGCGAACCCGAAATTTTTGGTTCGCGAACGGCGAACGCGAACTTCTGCAAATGTTCGCGCACCGGCGAACCGCCATAGACTTCAATGGGCAGGTGAATTTTAAAACACACAGGGACTCTTTCTGGCCACAATAGTGATGGAAAAGTTGTTTCAAGGGGACTAACACCTGGACTGTGGCATGCCGGAGGGGGATCCATGGCAAACATCCCATGGAAAATTACACAGTTGATGCAGAGTCTGGTTTTAATCCATAAAGGGCAGAAATCACCTAACATTCCTAAATCACAATGGATATGGATTGATACCAGACATATGACATATTGACACAGAGCAGAATAGGGACTGTTCCCCCTACATAGGGTCACTTGGCAGATATGGATTGACACCTGTCCTCAGAGCTCCTGATACACACTGACACAGAGCAGAATAGAGACTGTTCCTCCTACATAGGGTCGCTTGGCAGATATGGATTGACACCTGTCCTCATAGACCATGATACACACTGACACAGAGCAGAATAGGGACTGTTCCCCCTACATAGGGTCACTTGGCAGATATGGATTGACACCTGTCCTCAGAGACCATGATACACACTGACACAGAGCAGAATAGAGACTGTTCCCCTACATAGGGTCACTTGGCAGGTATGGATTGACACCTGTCCTCAGAGCCCCTAATACACACTGACACAGAGCAAAATAGAGACTGTTCCCCCTACATAGGGTCACTTGGCAGATATGGATTGACACCTGTACTAAGGATCCCTGATACACACCGACACAGAGCAGAATAGAGACTGTTCCCCTACATAGGGTCACTTGGCAGATATGGATTGACACCTGTCCTAGAGACCATGATACACACTGACACAGAGCAGAATAGGACTGTTCCCCCTACATAGGGTCACTTGGCAGATATGGATTGACACCTGTCCTAGGATCCCTGATACACACTGACACAGAGCAGAATAGGGACTGTTCCCCCTACATAGGGTCACTTGGCAGATATGGATTGACACCTGTCCTCAGGATCCCTGATACACACTGACACAGAGCAGAATAGGGACTGTTCCCCTACATAGGGTCACTTGGCAGATATGGATTGACACCTGTCCTCAGGGACCATGATACACACTGACACAGAGCAGAATAGAGACTGTTCCCCCTACATAGGGTTACTTGGCAGATATGGATTGACACCTATCCTAAGGATCCCTGATACACTCTGACACAGAGCAGAATAGGAATATTCACTAAATGCCAAACATTGTTATACAGGGGAATATTCAGTAAATAAGGATAAGGGGAAGTCCTTCCGGCCTTCCCCACCCGAGCGGGGTGGGTGGGGCCAGGGCCGGACTGGGGAAAAAATTAGGCCCGGCATTTTTCAATCAGAGCGGCCCCCTAAGAAGGGGGCGGGGCCAGAGAGGGTGTGTTTTGTCATCACTAATGACAAGCACGCCTCCTCTCAAAGTGAGCATGTTGGTTCAATGCGCAGAGCTGCGCTGAAGAGCTCTGGCATTAGAAAAAGGCCCTGTATTTGTTCTGCGCAGCGCAAGCAAATTTAATAATATGCTTGCGCTGTGTTTGCTTTTAAATTGTCTCTGGTGTCTCAACAAGTGGGATACCAGAGGACAAAAGGGCCAGGAAAGTGTATGGTGCATGTGTTTGGAGCCTGCTTGTGGGATTGCGTGTGTGTAGAGTGTGGTGTGGTATTGTATAAATAGGCCACTTAATTTGTGTTTGTAGGTAATACGTAGGCTAGGGGGCTGTAGAGAGGTATTTTTTATAGGGATGCAGCAGTGTGTATACGGCTTGAAGTGTGTATAGGTGACGAGGGAAGTAAGTGTAGAGAGGGTGTGTTAGAGAATGCTAGGCAAGCGGCTGGGACAGGGGAAATGTAGTGTGTGTGTGTGTAGGAGATCTACTGTAAAGGGACCCAGTGTGTGTGTGTGTGTGTAGAGGGGATTAAGAGTGCATATAGGTAAGTGGGACGGTGTGTAATCTGGAGCGTAATGTGTGCAGTGTGAGGGTGCTGTAGTGTGTGTGTGTGTGTGTGTGTGTGTGTGTGTGTGTGTGTGTGTGTGTATATATATATATTTGGACTTATTGTATGTGTGAGGGGCGCAGTGTGTGTATGTAAGAGGGGTGTTGTGTGTGAGGGTGTTTTTATCTGCTGTCACATTCTAGGTTTCTAATTTTCTTTGTCTGTTAACTCACTGAGGGTTAATATATATATATTAACCCTCAGTGAGTTAACAGACAAAGAAAATTAGAAATATATGTGTGTGTGCTGTATATATGTGTGTGTGTGCTGTATATGTGTGGGAGTGAGGGTGCTGTGTGTGTCTGGGGGCTGTGTGTGTCTGGGGGCTGTGTGTGTGGGGGTGTGTGTGTCTGGGGGCTGTGTGTGTGTCTGAGAGCTGTGTGTGTGTCTGAGAGCTGTGTGTGTGTCTGAGAGCTGTGTGTGTGTCTGAGAGCTGTGTGTGTGTCTGAGTGCTGTGTGTGTGTCTGAGTGCTGTGTGTGTGTCTGAGTGCTGTGTGTGTGTCTGAGTGCTGTGTGTGTCTGGGGGTGCGCTGTGTGTGTTTGGGGGTGTGCTGTGTCTGGGGTGCTGTGTGTGTGTTTGGGGGTGCTGTGTCTGGGGTGCTAGACTGGGGGATGTGTGTCTGGGGATGTGTGTCTGTGCTGTGTCTGGGTGCTGTGTCTGGGGCTGCTGTGTGTGTCTGGGGGTGCAGGACTGGGGGATGTGTCTGGGGGTGCGCTGTGTGTGTTTGGGGGGTGCTGTGTCTGGGTGCTGTGTGTGTGAGTGAATGTATTTTTTATTTAAATTTAAATATATATTTAAAAAAAATATATATATTTCCCCCCCCCCTCCCTTCTTACCTTTATCCTGGGAGGGGGGGAGGAGGAAATCCATTATGCCTGGGGGGTGGGGAGCCATGCTGCCTTCCCTGGTGGTCCAGTGGTGAGAGCGGCAACGCTCAGAATCCCGCAAGAGGACCGGCGGAGCTGCTGGTTAGAGCTCCGCCGGTCCTCCCCTCCCTCACCCAGCCGGCGGCTGCATCTCCCTGCCTCTGGGCCGGTGAGGGAGATCTTTCATCTCCCCACCGGCCCATGGAGGCACACAGCAGGGCCGGCGCTCGGATAGCGCCGGCTCTGCAGAGGCCGGCCGGGGAGATCCTGTGATCTCCCCTGCCAGCCTCGGCCCCACGGCCATCGCGGCCCACCGGGCATTTGCCCGGTATGCCCGATGGCCAGTCTGGGCCTGGTGGGGGCCATAAAAATAATGACGGGGGGGACCTACTGTATGATGTTGTATCGATCAAGTAGTGTAAGGGTTACGCCCGCTTCACAGTGACAGACCAAACTCCCCGTTTAACGCACTGCAAACAACCGCAAACAGTCCATTTGCACAACCGCAAACTCCCCATTTGCACAAGGTTGGATACCAAGCTAGCCATGTCCCGTTCCTTGTCCTCACTGATGTCATTGAAGGTCTCTTCCTCCACCCAGCCACGTACAACACCAAGGGTCCCCGAAAGGTGACAACAAGCTCCCTGGGACACCTGCTGTGTTTGGTCTTCCACCTCCTCAAAGCCACCTTCCTCCTCTGACTCCTCTTCTTCAGACTCCTCTCTCTGCGTTATTATAAGGTGTGTTAAGTAGTATTATTCCTATCCGTTTAATCCCTGTTACGTCCCCAGGGGACGTGTATATGGCATCGATTTTAGGAACCGGGAGATGGAAAAAGATGCTTGGTCGGTCCTCCTACTTCAAATTTTGGGCACTGCGCATGCCATCTAATGTGCCACCAGATAGGAGTGGTGTGTTAAGTAGTAATATTCTTATCAGTTTAATCCCTGTTACGTCCCCTATACGTTGATGTGGAGCAAGACGCAGCAGCAGAAGAGGACTCAGCCGAGGAGGTTATGGAAGAGGATGGACTAGAGGAGGTGGCAGCAGGCCTGCCTGCAAGTCGTGGCAGTGTCACCAACTCCTCTGCAGAGCCACGCATTCCATGCTTGGCAGCCGTCAGCAGGTTTACCCAATGCGCAGTGTAGGGGTGGCCTGCCTCTGCCTGTCATTTTTTTTTTCGATTAGTGGTACTATGCGTGCAAGCTACTGTGACACCAGATATGAGTGGCACTTTGAACTGGCAAAGTACACGTTGTAGGCCTGACACACCCGCTTGAAGACAACTAACTGCTATTCAATCTATAACAGTGAAAAAAGTTTTTGGGTTTTTAAATGCACGCTAATGTGACACCAGTGAGTGAGTGGTGGCACTGGGCAAGTGGGCACAGTATCCACTGTGAGTCTGACACAGAAGCTGGCAGGCAGGCAACTGCAATTACATTACACAGAAAAAAAAAAAAAGCAGACTGATGTTCTAGCCCTAAAAAGGGCTTTTTGGGGTGCTGTCCTTACAGCAGATATCAGATCAGTCCTTCGGGACTGTAGTGGACACTGTATACACTAACCTAGCTACCCATTTCCCTATCAAATTAATAGCAGCTACACTTTCCCTCCTCTCACTAAGCATGCAGCTTGAGAATGAATCTAAAATGGATGCTGTCCAGTAGGTGGGAGGGTCTGCTAGGGAGGGTGTGCTGCTAATTGGCTGGAATGTGTCTGCTGACTGTGAGGTACAGGGTCAAAGTTTACTCAATGATGATGAATAGGGGGCGGATCGAACCACGCATATGTTCGCCCACCGTGGCGAACGCGAACATGCTATGTTCGCCAGGAATTATTCGCCAGCGAACCGTTCGGTGCATCACTAGTTATCAGTAGCGGTCGATATAGTGAGTCCACTGGAAATAAACATTAGCAAAAACAAAATGACGGGGACTACAGTAAGGGAACTGCTGCAGTTCTTAAAGCCAAGTGCTAAGAGTATCGTGGAAACTGTCTCTTGGGAGGGTTGGTCCAGGCTGTGTAAATGGAAAGACCTTAACGGCTTAGGAGGTATACTCCATACCGCGGCAGCCAAAAGCATGCACTCAGGGTGCAAAGTAAGGCATGTCTGCTGTGAGGCACAGTATAGGGTGCCCAGTGCAGGAATGTCCCGAGATTTGACATTGTGAGCCTCTTCGATGGCGCTATCACCGCTTGATGATAGGCCACACCACGATTGCAGAATGTTGTCCAGAAGCTCATGCAGAGCTGGTCAAAAGCCTCCAGGGGCTGCATTGGTGGCTGAGTGCCTGTGCTCTTTGACTTGGGCCTTTTCTGGGCCACCATCTTGGCTGTGCCTCGACGGTGCAGTACCACTACAGGCGGCATAGCCGGTAAGTCCGTCGTTAGGCCTGATCAGTGTATCCAGTGGGGACTGGGATAACCCCCATCGGTCCAAAGTGGGAGGTAGGGTGCTAGCAAAGTCACTAGGGAGCTCCGAGGTAGGGGAGAGCGCTATCTTACCCCGGCTACAATTCCAGTAGGCCGCACTTGGCGTTCTGCACCCCTGGCCTTGACGGGCGTTGGAGTTGTATCACTCGATTCAGTGTTGCACCTCCAACGTGGGTAGTGCACCCTGGTAAATCCATGGGCTTCTTAGCTGCTGCTATTACTCCAATTTCTGCCCGCCAGGCAGGAGCTCATGTCACTCACATCTATATTGCTTGGTGGTCAGGCTCCGCCCGTAGATAAATCTTTTGTTAGTGTTTCTAACAATATTTGGAAAGCATACTAAATCATGACCTTGTATCTTCTATTTTCTCGAATAAGCTTTGCAAATTATTCAATATGTTTGTATAAATTTGTAAAATGTATTTTTTTTTTTAGATATTCAAATAAATATAGAATTGTATGCAAATATAAATATATATCTCAATATATATCTCAATCAAAATTAATTATAATACTAAATCATTTGAAAAGCTTATCCAACAACATTAAATTAATCTTAATTTAGAAAAAAAAGTGAGATTTTTCAAAATATGAAAGTGGGAATGGGCAAGTGAGTTGTCCACTACCTTGTTTTTTTATTTTAAATACCCGTATTGTCAAATTATAGTTCTCTTGCTCCCCCTTTTTAAAATGCATTTTGCTATAATAGTTTCCCCATGATTAATTGAGTCTTGTAGTGTGACTACCCCTGCTACCTCAGTAGACATGGTTGGCATAAGATGATAGGGCAGATGTTTTTCTTTAACAGTAAAGGATGGTCTAAAGACTAGGTGTGTGAGAAAACTATTATTTTGAGTGTGAAATGAGTGAGTGAGTCATCAAGTACCCATTTACACACACAAAACCAGAAACACACACAATCATATAGATATTCACACACATTTTGTTTATTAAAAGGTCCAGCCAGCCTCACTACCTTTCTCAGGGAGGGCTGAAGTGGATCCTCTCCCTTATGGGCAGTGGTTGCTGTTGGGATCACAGTGCCCTATCTGCAGAGGTCCCATGTGCACCCTCTAGTGATGCCTATACCAGGATGATATATATTGGCTGCAGGCATACTGTAAAGCACTCAAAGAAGCTGTGCAGGGATAGCACAGTAAATGTTAAGCTCCCTTGCCACCTGTACTACCCCTGATTATATTTGGGCAGAGTAGGCAACTGCCAGCCAGCCATCACCACACTGTAGCAACACCATAGGGTGAGTGCATCAAGTTCAACCTTTCATATATTCTCATATCTACTTTTATTTTTTAAATCAAAAGTGATTTTAAGTAGAAAACTATCTTTTCTTTTATCAACATTCTATGATAAGGCCTATTTTAGCAGATTATTGTTATTTTTACATAGCACCAACAAATTCCGTAGCACTTTACAATGGGTGGACTAACAAACATGTAATCGTAACCAGACAAGTTTGATGTACAGGAACAGAGGGGTTGAGGGCCCTGCTCAATGAGCTTACATGCTAGAGGGAGTAGGGTAAAGTCGCACAAAAGGTAAGGGTTGTATTAGGGAAGTAGATTGATAGAATAATATTCACTGAAGACTTTGTGTGTTTTTTTGTTTTGTTTTTAAGAGACAGTTGCAAGAGAGGAATCATTTGGGAGCCATTAACAGTTTAATTGATAAGCTTTTGTGCAAAAGTGAGTATCATAATCATATCAGATTATAATGATTTTTTGAAGGAGTAGAGGCTGGATGAGCGTCGAACGGAAAAGGGAAGGGAGTTCCACAGGAGCCCTAGAGAATCCTTGAAGGCGAGCATCAGAAGTGGGAGTACAAAAAGAGGATAGACGTAGGTGTTCGGCAGAGCGTAGGGGCCTAGAAGGGACATACTTGTGTATTAGGTAGGATAGGTATGTGGGAGCAGCATTATGTAGAGATATGCTAGCAAGAATCAAAATTTTAAATTAAGCCCTATATCTTACAGGAAGCCAATGCAGGGACTGACAGAGTGAGGCGTGGGAGATGTGGGCAGACAGGAAGATTATCCTCGCCGCCGCATTCATTAGACTGTAATGGGGAAAATTGGGAGAACGTAAGACCACTCAGAAGCGGATTGCAGTAGTCAAGATGAGAGAGGACAGTGGCATAGACCAGCACCTTATCCACATCTGGTGTTAAGTAGGAGTGGATGCACGCAATGTTTTTGAGATGGAAGCGGCAGGATTTGGTGATCAACTGGACATGGGGTGGGAAGGAGAAGTCGGAGTTGATGCGAATACCTAGGAAGTGAGCCTGCATGGTGGAGCCGATGGTAGCACCATAAACGTGGCGGGAGACAGAAATGGGAGTAGCAACACTTGAGGGAGGAAGGATCAGCGGAAAGGTCAAGCAGAATTAGGATAGAATAGTGACCATGAGACTTTGCAGCAAGTAGATTGTTGGATACTTTGGTCAGAGCCGTTTCCACAGAATGCTGGGCACGGAAACCAGATTGAAGTGGATTGAGATGAGAGTTAGACTCAAGGAAATTTGTCAATCTCACATACACAAGTTTTTCAAGGATCTTGGATGCGAAAGGCAGTAGCAAGATAGGGTGGTAGTTGGACTGGCAGTTAGGGTCAAGGTTAGGCTGTTTTTTTTTTTTTTTTGTTTTTTTTTTTAAGAATCAGGGTTACATTTGCATGTTTGAAGGGTGATGGAAATATGCCAGAGGATAGGGAGAGATTGAGAATTTTAATGAGAGGAAGAGCAAGAGAAGGAGACCGAATATGGATATGATGTGAGGGAATAGGATCAAGGGAGCAGGTGGTGGGGCTGGAGGACTGGAGCAGAGTAGAAACCTCTTCCACTGTAGCAGGTGCGAATAAAAATAGAACAGCAGAGGGAGTGACGTTGTGGAAAGTATTGTAAGGGGAAGGAGAGAGATGAGAGATCTCTTCCTTGGTTGTAGAGATCTGGTCAGTGAAGTGAGTTGCAAAGTTTGTGGCCTGTTAAGTTGGTAGGAGGAGGAGGAGGAGCAACAGGGCGAAGAAGAGAGTTAAATGTGTGAAATAGTTGTTAGGGTTGGCGAAAGAGTGTGATGATGACGATATTGAAGTCATTTACTTTTGCAGAAAGAGCCAAGTTCTAAGAGCGCAGCATAAATTTATAGTGGAGAAAGTCAGATGCAGGGTGAAACTTTCTCCAGCAGCGTTCAGCATTTCTGGAGCATTTTTTCAGGTATCAAGTCAGCTTGGTGGGCCAATGTTGTAGTTGGAGCACTTGCTGCATTTAAGGGTAGGGGGTGCCATGATGTCTAGTTAAGAGGAGAGGACAGAATTGAAGAAGGAAATTGCAGAGCTAGGGCAGGTGAGGTTTTAGGTTTGGAGCTTAGTGGAGAATTGCTCTAAATCAAGATATTGAAGGTTTGAGATTGATGTGCCAAGGGTAGTGTCATTTGGGTCCTGAGCGGATGTCAAAAGTCGGCAGATGGTGGTCAGAGAGAGGAAAAGGAATACTGGAGGTGGTACAGAGGTTGGTGAAGGTGAGATCAATTATAGGGTTTCCTCCTGTATGGGTTGCTGAATTAGACCATTGCGTGAGACCAAATAAGGAGGTTACAGAGAGCAGACGTGAGGGATCAGTGCAGTTGGGATGGTTGATTGGGATATTGAAGGGAAGGAGTGCTAGAGGATAGGAAGTGAGGTAGCCAGGAAGAAAAGTGCTCATTGAATAGCCTAGGATGAACGAGGAGGGTGGGATGGAGGGCAGTAGATGATAGCAATTCATAAAGAAGTGGGTTTAAATAGTTGAACATTGTGAACTTTAAAGGAAGTAACAATAGGGCAAGGAAGATTGGTTGAAAGGTACATTAAGGGGAGAGAAGGATGCCTACACCTTTAGAATAGAGTCTGAGAGTGTGGGAGAATTGTAGCCCATGAAAACAGAAAGACGATGGAGTAGCACTATCAGAGGGGGAAAGCCAGGTCTCAGTGAGTGCTAGTAAGTTTGAGATGAAAAGGTTGTGTATGGCTGTTTATTTCAGATTGTAGACAGAGTGCACACCGAATGTTGGTAAATGAGGGTAAAGGGGAGGGTATTGTGATGAGGTTTGTGTCGTTTCTGGTTGTCTTAGTCTGTGCAGAGGAGGTGAAGGTGCCCTGGGTTGGGAGAGACATCATCAGCTGCTAGTAGCAGGAGGTGCTAGTGGGTTTTACAGGGAGTGCAGAATTATTAGGCAAGTTGTATTTTTGAGGATTAATTTTATTATTGAACAACCACCATGTTCTCAATGAACCCAAAAAACTCATTAATATCAAAGCTGAATATTTTTGGAAGTAGTTTTTAGTTTGTTTTTAGTTATAGCTATGTTAGGAGGATATCTGTGTGTGCAGGTGACTATTACTGTGCATAATTATTAGGCAACTTAACAAAAAACAAATATATACCCATTTCAATTATTTATTATTACCAGTGAAACCAATATAACATCTCAACATTCACAAATATACATTTCTGACATTCAAAAACAAAACAAAAACAAATCAGTGACCAATATAGCCACCTTTCTTTGCAAGGACACTCAAAAGCCTGCCATCCATGGATTCTGTCAGTGTTTTGATCTGTTCACCATCAACATTGCGTGCAGCAGCAACCACAGCCTCCCAGACACTGTTCAGAGAGGTGTACTGTTTTCCCTCCTTGTAAATCTCACATTTGATGATGGACCACAGGTTCTCAATGGGGTTCAGATCAGGTGAACAAGGAGGCCATGTCATTAGATTTTCTTCTTTTATACCCTTTCTTGCCAGCCACGCTGTGGAGTACTTGGACGCGTGTGATGGAGCATTGTCCTGCATGAAAATCATGTTTTTCTTGAAGGATGCAGACTTCTTCCTGTACCACTGCTTGAAGAAGGTGTCTTCCAGGAACTGGCAGTAGGACTGGGAGTTGAGCTTGACTCCATCCTCAACCCTAAAAGGCCCCACAAGCTCATCTTTGATGATTCCAGCCCAAACCAGTACTCCACCTCCACCTTGCTGGCGTCTGAGTCGGACTGGAGCTCTCTGTCCTTTACCAATCCAGCCACGGGCCCATCCATCTGGCCCATCAAGACTCTCTCTCATTTCATCAGTCCATAAAACCTTAGAAAAATCAGTCTTGAGATATTTCTTGGCCCAGTCTTGGCGTTTCAGCTTGTGTGTCTTGTTCAGTGGTGGTCGTCTTTCAGCCTTTCTTACCTTGGCCATGTCTCTGAGTATTGCACACCTTGTGCTTTTGGGCACTCCAGTGATATTGCAGCTCTGAAATATGGCCAAACTGGTGGCAAGTGGCATCGTGGCAGCTGCACGCTTGACTTTTCTCAGTTCATGGCAGTTATTTTGCGCCTTGGTTTTTCCACACGCTTCTTGCGACCCTGTTGACTATTTTGAATGAAACGCTTGATTGTTCGATGATCACGCTTCAGAAGCTTTGCAATTTTAAGAGTGCTGCATCCCTCTGCAAGATATCTCACTGTTTTTGACTTTTCTGAGCCTGTCAAGTCCTTCTTTTGACCCATTTTGCCAAAGGAAAGGAAGTTGCCTAATAATTATGCACACCTGATATAGGGTGTTGATGTCATTAGACCACACCCCTTCTCATTACAGAGATGCACATCACCTAATATGCTTAATTGGTAGTAGGCTTTCGTGCCTATACAGCTTGGAGTAAGACAACATGCATAAAGAGGATGATGTGGTCAAAATACTCATTTGCCTAATAATTCTGCACTCCCTATATGTGTATGGGGTCTAGGATGAGATTGATTGTGAGTAGGAGAGAGGGAGCAGAAAAATGAGTGCAGTACATGATATGAGAGAAAGGGGGAGTGCAGCAGAGAGGGGGAAATGTAAGGGTTGGTGGGGGCATGGGGGAAATGGGTGTGTATGAGAGATTTTGATACTGAGGGACGAGGAGGAAATGAAGAGAAGACAGAGCACTGCTAAACTGGAAAAAAAATAAATTGGAAAGAATTGGAATATCAAAAACAGGAGTAGGAATGTTAAAGATTATGTTGTAAGGGTTAATAAAGTGCAGGAGTGTACTTTACAAATGAAATAATGAGCTCGGTGTAGGGTGGAGTGGGCAGGTATCAGACATTCTTGCAGCATTAATGGGGCTGGAAAGTTTGGAAATCAGGCTGTGTAAGAAAGATATATGAGGGTCAGATAAGCCTGCAATAAAGCTGAGGGAGGGGGATTTGCATCTATGCAGAGAGATGAGGGGATAGTTATACAAAAAAAAACATTTGAGTTGATATCAATAAAAGAAGGGAGGGGCCAGAGGGCAGAAAGCAGTGGGGAAATAGAGATGTGCATATATGTGAATGAAACAATTACATACAGGGCTAGTAAAACTATACTTTAGCATTACATACAAGACATAAATGTAATATGCAATGCACCCAGAATATATCAAATAAAGCAAGTTTACAAGGTGGTTAAATTAGAATTAAATTATATTGTGCAGGATAGAGTCTCAGTGTCGTCCTCCAGATACATTCCATATAAATACATATTCATCTTTTTATCATTAATTTTTCTATACAGTAAATTAACATTATAAAAAAATCATATGCTAGCTCAGTCCTAATAACAGCTTCTCATTCATTGTTGCCGAGTATACTTACCCTTGTTTCTGCAAGTGAGGTACAACAAGTTTTATCATTAGAAAGGTGGAGATCACATTGACTTGAAATACCTAATTAAAAAAAAAAAAAAAAAAATCACATTCAGTCACTTTTTTAAATAAGATTAA